CTACACATCGGCCCTTTAGCCAGTGAACAGGTGACTCCTTCTCCCTGGCAGCCCCATCCATATCTGTGTGGAAGTGTGTGGTAGTGGGAAGGGGGCGGCTGGAGTTGGGGCTAATTCTATGCCCCTTTGGTTGACAGATGTTTTATGCAGTAGCCAACAGGATATGGGATGAAAACACATAGTGAGTAGCCCTTGATCTCTTCTCCCTGAGCCTCTTTCCTGATTGGAAACCCAGTTTGAATCCCCAGATTTCCTGATTGTTTAGCAAACCCTACAGCCAGCATCTGGCCTGGTCTCTCATGGCAAGGACTGCAGTGTTCAAGGGTTCAGGGTCCCCAGCCTCTGCCTGTTTGGACCTAGATTGGAATGAAAAACAGCCTAGAATTTAGTTAATCCTTATAGTACATGACCTTGGGCCCCTCACCCTGACTCACTGAGGAAGATGAATGTCCTGTTTTATGCTGGGGGAAGGGCCAGCACATGTGTGGGCCAAGCTGTGGGGGTTGGAGAAGCAGGGGTAACGTGCTTACCTTAGACAGAGGGAGAGGGATGGGATGGGAGTGGCATCTGGGGCCCCTGATGGAGAGGAGCCCAGGGGGTGAGAGGGCTGGGACCATAGGTCTCCTCTGAGCTGACAGGCTGCTCAGTGTGAAACGTGGTCTCCTGTTCTCTCTCTGTCTCTCTCAGCAAGATCTGTACCTGGCTGAAAATCAAAGTCCACCACGTGCTTTTGCACATCCAGTAAGTAGGGCTTGGAGCCCTGGTAGCCCCTCTTCCACTTCTGACTCCATCTCCCCGCAGCTCCACCTTGTGGGAGGAGAGTCATCCAAGCTGACCCCATGAATCTCTATTGACTCTTAGGAATAGCAGGTCCAGCCCCTTCTCTAGGGCCCACCTTGCTAACGGGCTACTGATATGACAGCCATAGGGCTGCCCAGAACATAGGTAGGGCAGCTGTCCCAGTGGCCTTGGCAGAGTGGGGAGCAGAAGGAAGGGCTGGGCATCTGAGGAATCCAACACTCCCCAGAAAGCAGCAGGGCCAGGGCTTTCCTCTTCCTCCCAGACACAGCATCAGAGTCTGCTTCCTCTCCAGGGGCACCCTGACCTGCTCCTACCTGAGCCATTCAGAGCAGCTGGTTTTCCAGAGCTATGAATACGTGGACTGCCGGGGAAACACATCAGGGCCACACTTGCTGGTCCCTCACCCGCCATGACCTGTCTGCTGTCCTCCAGCTCCAGGCACCCGCCGGGTCTACATCTCCCATGACAGTCTATGATGCCCAGTAGGGCTCTGGTGACTTTGCCAAAGGAAAAGCCCTGCTTTGTCATACCCTCCCCACCCATATGCCCTCAGCACACCCTCTAATTTCTACAGGAACAGAAGCCTAGTTCTATAGTCTGGCACCAGATTTTCTCCTTGATCTGTCTGGAGGAAAGTCTGACCTGATGTTTCCCCAAAGCTGCCTTAGAGTCACGGACTGGCACCCACCCTTTTATGCTGAGCACCTTGGTTGCCCAGCTCCTCCAGGGCTGGCCTTCCTCCTGCCTGAATGTGGAGAAAGCTTTCATTTTATCTGGCTTTGAATATATGGGTCCTTTTCAGGTTCTCCACCCAGTGATGGGAAAATGACTTGTGGGATAGCCAGGGCTGTCCCCAGGGCCCTTGAGGGAACCATAGATACTCTGTATGCCTCCCTGCTTTGGTCATGTGACAAAGTGATGATGATGCCCGACTTCTCTTCTGGTAACTTGTCCCCACCCATCTGACAGCAAGATTGGCCAAGGCCCTTTGGCTCTGCATCCTTCCTGGTTAAAGACTGTCTGGCTTCCTAGGAAGTCAGAGCTGTTCTCCAGCTAAAGCTTCTCATCTCCATAAAAGTTGTATTATTCTCTTCACAGTAGGAACCAAAGTGGAAGGGAAGGGGCGGGGGACACCTGGCACTCCCAGGAAAAACCGAGACAAAGCCAGAGTTATTTTAAAAGGTATTTATTGAAGGAAACCACAACCCTGAACCATATGAGTGGACACAGGCAGGTCAAATGGTGGGTCCAGCTGCGCCCCTGCTGAAAGCCTGCAGAGCTGAACTGCTGGGCTCTGCTGCACCCACCGCTTAGCACCAGGGCCCACCCTCTCCTCCCAGAGGCCTCTGCTTTGACATTGACAGTATGGAGCTGCCTATCAGCAGGGACTGGTCTGGACCCTCTCCTCTTTGCTGTCACTCAGATGCAGCTAAGCCCCAGGTGACCCCCAGGTTCCCACAGGCTCCTGCTCTTGATCTGAACAAGAATGGTATTTGCTTACTCAAGATGGCTCTGGTTTCTATCACTCAGACAGGCAGAGAGATGAGCTTAGGTGGTGGGGAAGCTGAATTTGAAGTAGGATGGATAGAGAGGGCGAAGTGGTGACAGAACCTAGTGACTAGCTGGCTGGGGGGACGAGGGGAAGGGAGTTTGTCCTGTCTGCAGGCTCTCATGCCTGGGTAACTGGGGTCAAGGTGGTGCTGGCAAGAGCACAGAAGTCCACGAAGTCCAGGCTGGAGCTTCTGCTGTGTGCAGTTCACCAAATGTAAGGGATTTATATTGTATTTAATAAACTGAACAGTATTAAAAAAAAAAAAAAAAGGTCTCCTGTGAGTGGGAAGAGAGCTGGTGGACACTCCCCCTCTCCCAGGCTGTTTCTTAATGTCCAGGCGGGCATTAAGTTCTCTTCCCCAGGCCCTGAGCCCCTCGATAACACACCCTGCTTCTCTGGCTTCTGAGATTTTGCTCCTAGGAACTGGCTTTATCCCTTTCTCCCTTTCTCTCATTGTGTGTCTCTGAGGTCCCATCCGACTTTAACATTCCTGTTCTGTGCACCCTCCCTTCACCTGCCCCAACTGCTCCTCTCAGGAAACACTGTACTGGGGGCTCCTTCAGCCTGACCCAAAAGTGATGCTGTGTGGGCTACAATGAAAGGACCCTGGCATCCCCCCTCACCAGTCCAAGGTGGAAGGGGGCAGGGCTGGGGGACCCTGGATGTGTCAGTTTCAGGAAGTGGTGAAGGGGGTGCTGGGGCTTTTGGAGCCTCTTGGTTGTGTCTGCTACATGGAAAGGCTGGGACCCAGGGAGGAAGAGGCCTGTGGATCTGGGGAGGTGGCTAGTCCCCCTCCCCTTCCCAGGGCCAGGTGCTGTGCCTGAGGCTATAGCCCCCCTTTCCTCAATTCTTTCCACCCCTGCCTCCCATCTTTTCAACAGCAGAGTGCCCACTGTGGACCAGGCATTACACTGATCTTGTGGGGAGGTCCCTGCCTGCCATTTCTTCTAATGCTGCCCCAGGCCTGCTCTGGTGTGATGCAACCCCTCCTTCCCCATCGGCTAGGGGGAAAGGGTGATGGCTCCAGTGAGAGTCATAAGTCTGAAGTCCCTGGCAGACCTGTCACTGCTTAATGAGGGCCAGTAGTGGAGCTGTAGACTTGAGGGGCAGTTGGCTTTGCCAAGAGTAGTAAGAAATTGCCTTCTCCTTTCTTCTCAAACCCTTCCCATCCCCTTCAATGGTCTTCTTGCTGCCTCCCCCTCATCCCAGTCTCACAGAGCCCCACCAGTCTCTTGATTCTTTCCAGGAAGAAATCACATTTTATTCCTGGCTAGCCTCCTCAGCTAGAGTGGGTCAGGAGGGGTTGGCGTTTGGAGTGGAGATGTTGCTGGGTGGTGAGGAGGTAGGGTTGCTCATCTGATTTTTGCTGATGGCCAATGGGGTCTTGGGGTCTAGCTCTGAATCACCACTGCTGTGTGTAATCCCTTGACTGAGAAAAGGGAGACAGAAGACAAAACAAGTTAGCAGTTCCCGGGCCAGCTGGGTTCAGAACACTGTATTAAGCCCTTTGAATCCAGAGGAATCAAACTGAAATGTAGCAGCTCAGTCCTCATTTTTTTTCTTTTTAATGGAGGTACTAGGGATTGAACCTAGGACTTCATGCATGCTAAGCATGCACTCTACCACTGAGCTATATGGACTGCCCCTCACTGGTCCCCCAGTCCTCGTCTTAAAAGGGCTAGAATCAGTTCTTGGATCCTTTGCACCTGTGCCAGAAACCTTTCCAAAGCTCATACCATTTTATGTAATTCTCAAGACTCTGAGGAGTCTTTCTGGGTTTGATGATCTACAATAAGCCAGGTCCTAGCTGAGTGCTTTTGATGCCTTCCCTTTTAATTCAGTCCTCATGACACCTCAGTTAAGGAGGTGGTATTATTCTCTGGATGGGGCACCTGAGGCTCAGAGATTGAATCATGCTACCAGGCAGTGGTGATTCTGACTGAGCCCATAACCTCTAACATCAGGTTTTACCTTCCTCCTGCTCCAGCTGGCTCTCCCCCAATCAGTGTTTCAAACAGCCCCTTGATTTTGTTCCGTTGGTATCTGCCCTATCTTTCCAGATAGATTATCATCCCCTTCACTTAGCACTGAGCAGCAGGCTCTACTTAGACATTTTTATGGGGGTGAGGAATGGAGGAATGGGCCATCCAGAAGTGACTGAATAACTTCAGTCACCTCCTCTGACTCCTGCCAAGGAAGCCTCTCTAGAATCCACTCACGCTTCCACGCAATCACACTCAGACATGCAGCCAGAATCTTTCTGCCTTTCACACTCTGAATCTGTCTCACCGTCAATTGTGGGTACTTGGTGCATTTATCTGGGCTAGACTGGAATGATTTCCTGAAACCTGATGATGAAACAAAGCACATATTACTCATCCGGCAGTTTCTGAGAATGGAACATGGCAGAGCTGGACTCTTTACCATGTGTCTGGGGTCACAGACCCAGCCCTATCCTGAAAATTCTCAACTGGGAAGCCACGCTATGCTTGCCTGTTCTAAGCTCAGGATATCTGTGCTAAGCCTACAACCTGTGGCCCACCCTCTGACCACCCCTACCTGCTCTGTCACCCTCGCCCTGGAGGAGAGACTGACATCTTCTGAGCCACCCTCTGCAGAAGCTGTCAGGCTTCTCTGCAGCCCTAGCTTGTGCAAAACCACCCAGAGGGAATGACCCCCAAGTAAAGGTGCCAGAGAGAGTCAGGGGGTGGAGTGACAGATGTGGATTCTGGACCACAGGGCTGGGATGGGAGCAAGAGGCTCTCTCCTCACTACCTCGGACTCTGGGGCATCTCACTTACCAGTACCTTGAGGATCTGTCATCTCTCCTTGGAAAGTGTCCTTGTTAAAGAGGTTGGATTGCCCTCCAGCTTGATGGGTCCCCACCAAGCCAAGCTGGGGATCTGGCCTTTTGGAATCCTGGAGAATGCACTGGGAGGTGAGCTGAGTAAGAAGGTCTTGAGCATTTCGTTGGTTTGGCTGAGGAGGCGGCGGCGCCGGCGGTGGTTGCGCCGTTGGCGACTGTGATTGCACCGGGGATGGCTGCGACTCCTGCCGCGACTGCCGAGATGGCTGGGTTTTTTTCTCAGATTGGTGTTCATCCTCTTGGAGTTTCTTCAGTTCCTGGCAAGAAGCCCCTCAAGTGGCACCCTCCTCCCTCCCCACGCAGTCACCCACCTGCCAGAGACACTGCAGAAAGCAAGGCAAGCAAATCCAGAGATGGAGGTGGCTGGCGGGAGGGGTGTCTCTGTTCCCTGGAGTTGGAGGCTGAGGCTGGAGCAGAGCTCTCTCCCCTCCCCCACCACAACACCCAGGAACCCTTTCTATAGTGACAATACCCCTTGGCACAGCCCCTGCCCAGGAAACAGCTGCCTCTGACCACCTACCTCCCAGTTTGGGAGCTGCACACTGAAAGTTTTGCAGTGCTAGAGGGTAAAGAATAATTTCTTGCAAACGCTTTGAAACAACACTGTCCAAGAGAAATATAATGCTGGTTAACTGTAACAAAGTTTTCTAGTAGCCACATAACAAAGTAAGAAGAAATAGGTGAAACTAATTTTAATAGTATATTTTATTCAATCCAATACATCCAAAACATAAAAGCAATATGAAAATTAGTGAGATAGTTTATATTCTTTGTTTTTGTATTAAGTCTTCAAGATCCATTTTATACGTAACAGCCCATCTTAATTTAGACACTACATTTTGATTAAAGATATCTAATCTATATTTAGAGTTCATATAATTTACAATGAAAAAAAGTAGGTTCACATATCCAAACTGTTCCAAACATACTTTGAAAGTTTCTGGTATGTAAACTGGGTGTGGGTTTTTTCATTGATATTTAAATAAATTAAATATATATAAAATTTTAAATTCAGTGCCTCAGTCCCACTAGTCACATTTCAAGGTCTATAGCAGCCAGGCTATAGTACAGTACAGCTTTAAAATCTCCCAAGCCTGATCCTCCAATCCCATAGCAGGCCTCAGTCTAATACAACAGCAAAGTTGAGTCCACCCAATACACATACACACAAACAAGAGAACATCAAAGGAACTTGTTTTCCTCCAGCCCCCAGCAAAACAAAATTCACCAGATAATAAACAGCTTCCCAGGAGTCTTGTCTTCCCTCCCCATTCCCTCCCTACCCCTGCAAGGACCCCAGTGAACCTGGCCCCTCTCACGCACTTGCTCTTGCTGCTGCTGCTGCTGCTGGGCCATCAGCCACCTCCTCCTGTCCAAAGCCATCTGCCGGCGACGGGCCTCCCAGTGGTAAGCACTGCCCATGATGGTGGGGGTAGCAGCAGTTCCCAGGCAGGGGGTAGGGGCAGGCAGAGCCCAGGAGGCTGTCACTGCCCCCACTACCGGTCTCCTCTCACCTCAACCCCAGAGCCTGTAACCAGAACCACCTCACAATGTGGCCACTACCAGGGCAACTGGGCAGGACCCCCCCTGCCTTGGGAAAGAGGGAGGTGCTCTTCCCAAGCCTCCTAGGAAACGTCTGTAAATTACCTCTCTCTCCAGGGCCATGAGCAGGTAGAAGATGCCTTTCCACATTAGCTTTGAGTTTCAATGGACCTCCCCAGGGACAATTCCAAAGTGATCTGGCTTTTCTCTTTGGTTTCTTTCTCCCACTATTCCCAGGATTCCAGCATCCTCATTTGGTCCTCTGCTGACCCCTCCCTTCCCTCCTCTCAAAGTCCTCTGGAGTTACCTTTCCCTCAGTCCTCCACCTCCTCCCCCTGTGCTGAGTCAAGAAAAAATAAAATCCAACCAACTCTTACTGGGGTCTGAGCCCTGGGAAGGCAAGGTGGCTTATTAGAAAGTATCATAGTCCTGGGGATTTAATAGGCCAAGCGCAAATCTACCTTCTATCTCTTCCTCTGACCTTGGACTCAGCCTACCTCTCCGGGCTTCAGTTTCCTTGCCTGTAAAACCAGAAGCGTAGTACTTGTTACCTTCCTCACAGGGTTCAGACTGGACAAAATGGATTAATGGATGAGAAACATATGAGCTGAAATATAAAATTGCTCATCTCCAGGTTGGTATTATTTATTATCCTACTTGATTTGCATCCTGCCAGGGAGGAAATACTCATCCTCCGGCATTCTTGGTTTTTGGCTGGTCTAATCATCAAATTGACATGGACAGATGAACAGGAGAAAAATGAATTTAATTATGTATGTTCAGGGATCCCATAAGAACATGAGACCCAAAGGCAGTTGAGGATTATACACCGTCCTGAGCTAAGGAACGGAATAAGTGCTTATGCTTCGAAGTGGAGAAGGGTACCTCACAGGACAAAAAGAAGAGCAGGTGTTTGGTAATGAGATGTTTGCTCTGCCATGCAGATAGGTCATTCAGATAAAATGTGTCTCTGAGAATAGCTCTCTCTGAGCCAGATTCCCTATGTAAATTCTTTTAGGTGGTTGGAGAGGTAAAAAGCTCTTCCTGTGTCTTTTTGGGCCTCCATCATCTCTGGCTCAAAATAACCCATGCCAAAACGACACATTCTGGGGAGACTTGTTCTCAACTCCTTTGGTCTCTAGTAGGTGGAGTGGCCAGGGGAGGGGATCATTTTATGAAGGCCAGGAAGGCTTCTGAGGCAGGGACTGGGTAAACTGTTGGCCTGCCTCCTACATATACCTGTTTTTACCGACAGATAAAAATTTTCTAGAAGCAGCAGAGCCTGAGTCCAGCTGGAAGCAGGGAAAAGGTATAAGGAAAAAAAAAAAAAAAAGAAAGAAAAGAAAAGAAAAAAAAAGAAAGAAAGAAAAGAAAGAAAAAAAAAAGAGGCTTCGAACTCAGCCCCAATGTGCTCAAGGAATAGCTCAGTGGTAGAACATATGCTTAGCATGCATGAGGTCCTGGGTTCAATCCCCAATACCTCCATCAAAAACAAAAACAAAAAACCTATCCTCAACCTCAACATTGTGGTGGTGGAGGTGCAGCCCTTGAACCAGAGAACAAGTTCTCAGAGAATCTGTCAGTTCAGGCAACGGATATAGTGGAGTCATCTTGGGTTCTGGAGTCAAACAGACTCAAGTTCAATCCTGGCTGTTTCACCTACTAGCTGGGGGGACTTAGGCAGGTCATTCAGTATCTCTGAGCCTTTCCTGTAAGGATTGCCGGAAGTCAATGTGGGATGCTTGGAAAGTGCCTGCTGTCACAGTGGGCATGTGGCCGTGGTCAGCTGGTAGGGATCCCCAGCTCTGCTGAGGGGCCAATGGGGCACTGAGCCTTGCTAGATCTCCTTTTTAAAAGAGGAGCTAGTCCCTTCTCCTCCTTGCATATAGGGGTGTCATTTGCAATGATAGATTCACAAGCATTTCCAGATACAAAAAATGAAGCTGAGGCTTGTTATTTTCACAGCACATTTATCTTCCTATAAACTAATTCTACAGATATTTAAGTGGAAAATAACTATTGTAAGAGGAAGAGAAAGGCACTTGACTGTCTTGATAATTAAATGGGCCAAAGGGGGAAGTGGGTTCTTGTTTGTATCTCTTCCTCTCTCGATTTCCCTCTTTCCTCCTACCCTAGAAAGAAGAGGAATCAGATAGGGAGAAGCTCAGGGTGGGGAGGTGGACTGGGCTGAACTTGGGGAAATGTTTCCAACCCTCTGAGCCAGTCTTCCTGCCAGAGGAGGGATTTTCAGGGTAAATCTGACAAGATCATACCCTCCTCCTTCTCATCTCCCTTTCTGAGGGCCTCTCCTTCCTCCCCTCTGCACACTGCCTCTCCCAACCCCACCACTGACCTCAGACCTCCCTCCACACTTAGGATTCAACTCCACATTGCACTTCATCCCTTCTAGTCTGGATTTTAACTCATATTGGCCCTCATGGAACTTCCCTTGCTGTTACCTGATTGTAGCCACTCACACATTGGCATTTTAAAATAAAGCGTATTATTATTCAAGACCCAGAATCTTTTGTTGTGAAAGGAAAAGTAGAGTTAGAATCGTGGGCCAGGTAAATCTTGTGAAATACCAGCTGCATTATTTATTAGGTGTGCGAATGTGATCCAGCTACTCTAGTCCTCCGATCAGTTTCCTTACCTGCAGGGTAGGGATAATCATACCTCCACTCTAGAGGTACTGTGATGATTAAAGGAAATAATCCATGTCACACACAAGAGGCTTTTAGTATTATAGTATTTCATGACTTTCAGATGCCATCAATTGTGAGGTTACAATTTGTGTACCCCTAAGAAAAAAAGAATGAAGGAAACAAAGACATGCTGCCATGTAAACAGCACAGTTCTTTCCCTGGCATCCCGGTTTCTGAGATGTCAAGATGTGAAACAGTTGTGCATCTTAGAATGAACACAATCAGGCATCATTATGAAGTGTGACACCTTCTGTTTAGGGCTGTTGAAAGATGGGGGTGGGGATGTGGGGATTTGCTGGCACACAGTGTGTACTCAATACTGTCAGGTAAGTTTTGAAAAGCCCAGTTCTTGGATGAGTCTAATTAGTTTTATGGATCCAGTCTAACTGGACAGGAAACTTGCTCTCTGGCACACAAAGTCTTATGTTTCAGGGTAGGATCCTAAGTACATTCAGGAGGAGTGGGGGGAGGCAGTCACTCTGCTGATCCAGGCACACCCCTCATTATGTTCCTGGAAAAATAGTCCCCCCGCCCCCTGCAAAGTCAGATCGACTGACCCAGTTCTTCCGCTACTCGAAAAAGTAGAAGCTTTTGTTTTGTGACTGTGAAAAAGAAGGCGGAAGAAAGGAGAATTGAGGAGGAGAGGGAGGGGTCACAGAGAAGAGAGAGGAAGTCAGAGAAAATAAAATGGTATCTTCCTCGAGGGCTCTTCAACTAGTCCTGCAAGCTGACATGATGAAAGGAACCTGAAGCTGTCCAAGAGGGCAGGGTAAAAATTGAAGTGAAGGTAGAGCTGCTGCAGGGCCAGGAAAAAATGAATTGAGGCCTGGACTTGAAGGGCCCATCCTCCCCAGCTGGCAGGGGGATCCGGCAGCCCTCTGATGCCCAAGGATGGAACACTTAGGAACACCTGAAGTTGGCAGTCTTGGCATGGACAGACCTTTTCTGCACAGGCTTCCCTAACAACGAAGAGCAGTGGATGTAGTTGAAAGCTTGAGTGGCAGCCAGAGGAGGGATAGAAGAGCACCACATATGCCCCTTGCTGACCACAGGGACAAGGTCATGTTCACCTGCATGATCCCAGGACCTACACAGAGACAGGCAGAGTTGGTATGATACCAAAGAATCAGCTGAATCAAGAATTTAAAAAACATGATATCAGAAGATTTTTTTAAAAAAAAGAGAAGTCCAGAAATATACATACATGTGTATGAGGACTTTTTAATATGATAAAGGTGGCATCTGAAACTGATGAGAAGATGGACTATTTTATATACAATTTTGAGACAACTGGGTAGCCGTTCGGGAAAAATAAAGTCAGATCTATACCTGAACTCAAATACTAGGACAAATAAGAAGTGGGTTGGAGATGAAAATACAGAGATCAACAATTCAAATGACAATGAACACTCAGTTCACAGAAAAGAAAATAATAGTGGCTCTTAAGCAAACAAAAAGATGCACAACCTTGCTCATCGTAAGAGATACCATTGGATGTTATGGAAGAGTTTGATAACATGGTTGTTGGGCAAGGCTGTGGGAAACAGGCACTGGTTGCGAAAGCTACCTGTGCTCTTCAAGTCTCTGTTCCTGGCTTGTCATTCCCAGCTCCCTGCAGTAATGGTAAGTGGGTCCATAGTGAGATTGTAGGACACTTAGGCAAAGGTGCACCAGACTACTACATCCTGGTATTGCCTGAACTTTTGCAAGCACATTGGTCTCTGAACATGGATGTGAGCCAGCGGAGGGGCAATGACTCACATTAGCTAAACTCACAAGAAGTTGGTGCATTAAATAGAATGCTATATTTTTAATGTACAACAGGAGATTGTCATTTGCAATGACAGAACATGCATGTCTGCAATCCAAGGCACCTCACTGTGAAGATCAAAATAGCTGGGAACCTAAATTAGTGAGCACAAGATGGCCTGATAAACATAGAAGCAAGCTGAAAGGTAGTGAAACACGGTGAGGGTCATAATAATTACTACAAGCCAGGAGGTTTGCTAATCGCTTTCTATATGTAAAAATTGCATTATTTAATGTTTATACCTTCGTTTATTCAACCAAAATATACTGTCTAGTATGTGCCAGGCCCTGTTCTAAACACTGAAGATATAAACGTGGAACAAAGGTCCCTGCTCCAGAGCTTACATGCTATTAGGCTAAAAGGCAATAAACAAATAAATGTATAAAATATCAGGTGATACGTACTATGGTGTAAAATAAAACCAGGTGAGGGAGAACAGGGGGCCTGGGTGAATGAGGGAGGATTAAGCACAGGACTATATGCCAGCTGTTAATATTCTCATTTTCTAGGTGAAGAGGCTAAATTACAGAGAAGTGACTTGCCTGAGATATTTTCCCTTGTGTTCTTTAAAAAAAAAAAAAGTTGTTTTTGGTTTTGGTTTTGTTATGGGGGGAGGTAATTAGGTTTATTTACTTATTTATTTTAATGGAAGTACTGGGGATTGAACTCTTCCACCGACCCCCTTCCTCCGTTCGCTCAACCCCAATTCTCCTAGGTTTTGTCCTTAGATGAGAGCGGACAAAGACAAGCTCGGTCCGGGCCCAGCTTCCACTCATGCGCGCAGAGGTGGTGTCGAGAAGCGGGCGGAGCCACCCTCTACGACCACGCCTACCCGTGCGGAAAGGGCGGGGCATGCAAATTATAAATGGGGCTTCAGCCCGAGAACGACAAAGCAACAAGAGATATACAATTTCTCTTTTATAATTTGGTGATAAAAATCTGCAGAAGAGTCTAGTTTAGTGGCACCCACAGTACTGTAACTAGGCAAAGGAAATGAGGCCTCGGGTGAGCAGTGAGATGCGTCACCGTGAATTGAATATGAATGCAGGAACGGCAGCAGCGGCGAAGGGAGCTCCCGGGTATGCTGCTTTGTTAACTTTTTATGTGTGGGATTATGTGTTAATGTTTGTTTTTGTTCGTTGTTTGTAAGTATATTGTTCCCGGGGATGGAGTTTTTGGATCAGGTAGTTGGAGTAGGTGTTTGTTTCACCCGACCAGCGGGCTGACTTCTTCTTGTAGTGGTTTCCAGAAGCAGTCCTCTGTTTTGAGAAAGTCAAATGGTTAAAGAGGCAAGTAAAGTTTTTGCTCGGTGGTTAGCTGCTTTACGATGTGTATTAGGCTGTTAAAAACGATTTTGTTTTAAGCTTGTGGTGGAACACTGGAGATTATATAACACAGTAGCATCCAATTTGGCAGTTTGCGTTCATTACAGGGAAAAGAATTACGGTTTTTGTAAAGCTTCTAAGGGCTGCTGTTTGGCGTTTTATTCGAGTAGTGTTTTCTTAATCCGTGAGTTGACATCGTTTCAGTGGAGGGGAGGTGTGTGTTCATACCCGCCGTTGGAAACTAAAAAGATTTTTTTGTTCTCAGTCACCACAGCAAGAGATGAGAGTATGAACCCGAGCTGTGGATTATGTGTTCTCTATTCTCTGGACAAAGGGTTCTTGACACCCGCGTATTGAACTCTCTCACATTGACCCATCTTCTGCCCTTCTTTCCTCAATCGGTGGCATCACTGGAGGAGCCTAATGGGCTGGGGCGCTGGCACAGCAGAGACTTCACAAGACACACGACCTTCTCGCTTTCCATACAGAGAGAGAAGTGACGCTACAGTAAAACGGGGCAGCACTAAGCTTAGAGGCTCCTGTTGTCTGGGACTGGCTGGGACATCTTCAAACCACAGTCAAATTGTTTCCTCTTTCTACAACAACCACGGAGAAGGAAGCGCAGGGCCTGCTGGGCCTCTCAAGGTTCTGGAAGCAACACTTTCCACACAAAGAAATCCTGCCTGAGCTCATAGGCCAGGTGACACAAAAGATGTTCAGCTTGGAGCGGGGCCCGGAGCAGACAGCTCCAAAGCCGCCAAGTGTGGTGGAGCAGCCCTGCTACTTGGGCCACCAAAATCTGTGGACCCTACTGTGTTGGGGACAGGTAACAGGCTAGTAAAGGAAAAGAGCTGGAGTTGGTGGCAAGCCAGAGGGGAGGATCACCTCGTGGGCCTTGCGGGTTCTAGAGCCAGGTCAGCCACCTGCGGTAGAGAATTCTCCACTTTCTGAAAAGCAGCTCCTGGTAAACTACTGGGCATTTTGTAGAACCGGATGGTAACTGCAGGACAATCAGAGACCTCTAGCAGGTCTCCAAGATTGTGACCTCTGTTAGGCCCGCAACAGCAACCATCCTAAGAAGGACATGGTACTTGAGGATTGAGTCTGAGCAGGAGTAGAGACACTGGACCATTAACAGGTGGAATGACTCTACCAGCATTTGTAGTCGGCCACTCCAGGACTGGCACGATGGGCAAGTGAACAGTGGGGTCGCCAGGACAGCAGTGGAGGCCACAATGGACCTAAAACGTACTGATCAATTTGAATATATATAATTCACGCCTGCACACACACAAAAAGACAAGGCGGGAGCCTCAGTGGTATGCTCAAGGTCCTGGGTTCAATCCCGAGTACTTCCATTAAAATAAATAAGTAAATAAATAAACCTAATTACCTCTCCCCTGAAACAAAAAACAAATAAAAAATACGTATTTTTTGAAAAAGAGAGAGATCTTTTAAAAAAAAAGATGAATGACACAGGAAAAAACTATTTGCAGGTCTATCACACACAGTTTATCAAAGTATTCTATAAAGAGATCTGAGAATGTGATCAGAAAAACACAAACCATGCAATAAAATATGGCTAAAAATCACATAGTTCATGGGAAAGATAATGTCTTTTTTCACATACAAAAATATGTACCACCTACTTGTAATGAGAGAAATGAATATTTAAATAGCAGTGAAATATAATTTATAACCTGTGACTTTGGCAAATATACAAGTCTGATAACATACTGGGTTCTCCAGGTTGCAGAAACAGGAACTGCATGAGACCTCTCAGGGCGTCCCAGAGTCCCTGTCCTGACCTGTTACTCCTGACTCCTTGGGGCGACAATACCAGGGACCCTGAGGGTGCAACACCTTAGTGAAGGCACATGACAGCTGGATGAGGTGTATGTGGTACCAGCAGTAGCTCTGTGGGCATAACTGCCTGTGCACATCTATTTGAGCAGGCTTCAGGGCATGGTGGGAGAGAAGTACTGACTCAAGTAAACCAAGCTCCCAAGGGGCCAGAAGGTAAAGTAAGTCACCTCGATGGGAGACGCTCCTTTGCAAGAATGTAATTATCTGAAACCATAAAGTCACCACTGAGGCACGTGGAACCAAGCAGAGAGGTCTTGTATTGGGGAAGCCTGAAGAGCCGTCACAATAACCACATGCCACCAGTTAGGTAAGTGTGGCTGATATATTATCTCCTTAATACTTACCCATTACTCATCCATTTCAACAAATGAATGTAGGTGCTGGGCACTGGTCTAATGAATGGGACAGAGTGAGGGAAAAAGCAGTCCAAATTGGATTGTGGTAACGGGGTGGGGGTGTCAGATGTGGGGGAAGGTGGTAGGATCACAAAAAAGCACTTATACAACATGTCAGGTCTGGGGCAGCTGCTCAGAAACTCAAAACCATGTTAGGGCACCTAGGGGCGCCTCCAGTGAAAGTGGGGAGGGAGGTTTCTCAAAACAGGCTCCGTTGGGTTTTCACAGGGCAGGGGTACCACAAGGAAATGAAGATTCAGAGAAATATCTGGCCGAAACGCTGTTTTTCCCTAGTGTTTGCTAGTGGAGGGCTGACTCCTGCTGGGCATGTCCACAGAGGGCCTCAGAGCTAATCTGTCAGGAAGGTTATTAGGGTTCAGAGAGAAGATGAGAAGGAGAGATCATCCCCTCCCCCATGGAAGAAAGGGAAAACCTAGGCAGGCAGAGAGTCCGGGAGTCAAGAGCCAAGGCAGGGTGAGGTGGGAACTTGACCCCAGATGCCACCTGCCCTTATGGAAACCGCTGTGCTACAGGCCTGGTGCCAGCAAACCCGTGTGTGTGCCACCAGCAGCCCTTCTCCCCTCCAAGGTCGACTTCCTGTTCTCACGGTTTCCCTCCTGTGGACTCTATCCCTTAGCGGAGCCTCTGCTCCAGACCCGGGCTGTGTCTTGGAGCAGGGTGATCAGCCCCGCAAGTCGACAGCCTACTAGCTGTGTGACCCTGGACAAGTTTCTCCACCTCTCTGGGCTTGGCGATCACATCTGTGAAATGAGGATGGTAACAGCGTCAAACCGCTCTAGGGTCTCCAGGATCCAAGTGGGTTAAAACTATCAAAGAATGCAGTGCAGTGCCTGGCACGTGACTGTCAAGTATGTGATCAAGGTTGGATCCAGTCCGCAGGCTGGACAGAACTGATGAGTCAGTTTAGGGCAAGGGCCGACTGGGCTAGTGTCCCAGTCCCTACTACAGCTCACTAGAGGCTTTGTGGAAAACCAAGGAAAGAAATGTGCGCTCCCCTAGCGATCCCGGGGTCTCAGGGAACCTCGGGAAGACATTAAGACGGAGGCTGGTGCACAGTCACGGTGGTTCCTGCCCCGGCTGTTAGTCCCCTCCCCGCCCAAGGTCGGAGCTCTGTCTGGCGCCCGCCGGCTGATTCTAATCTCCCGGATGCCCAGTCAAGGCCCCGGGGCTTCCTTCGGGAGTAAGCAGACCACAGCTCCCTCTAAACATCACTCTCCGGTCGCCCAGCTGCAGCAACCGTCTTGAGCCAGGAGCTGGTATTTGTGCCACGGGAGGGGCTGCCTCCAGCTCCCCGCCGTCTTCTTCAGATCTGTGGTGCCGGAGTCGCGAGGCCAGGGGCGGAGCGGGACCAAGGTGGCACCGTGGTGGCCACGTCCTTTGGGCGTAGAGGGGCGGGGCATGCAAACAGAGGCTCGTTCTCCGGGAAAGATGGAGGCGGGGTGGGGGGGGCCAAAAGGAGGTTGGAGCGAAAGTTGACCAGGAATGTGGAGGACAACTACAACTTCAGTGGCCTGGAGATTACACAGGACAGAAAGCCAGAAATGTCGACTGGGGTGACATTGCTCACCGTGACTTCAATGTGGATGGCAGAGAGGACGGTGGCGGCGAAGGCGGTCCATTAGCTATCGCTTCTCGGCCTTTTGGCTAAGATCAAGTGTAGTATCTGTTCTTATCAGTTTAATATCTGATACGTTCTCTACCTGAGAACAAATTATTAAATGGATTTTTAGAGCAGGGAGCTGGACTAGGAGCTTGCTCCGTCTACTCCACGTATCGACCTGGTATTGCAGTGTTTCCAGGAACGGTGCGCTCGTATGAAGCGTGAACGGCAGACTTGAGTGTGTTCCGGTTTGCATTCTTCCCGTGATCTTTCAAATATGGCGTGTTTTTGTTTTTTTTTTTTTTTACCGGTGCAGGTCCTGTTAGTTTCTTTTGTTTTTTTAACTTGGGCTTTTATATGGTGTGAAAGGGAAATGCTTTGTTTTTTAATACCTTTGCTCTCTGTTGTAGGTTTGATGGAGTTCAACAAGAAAGGTTCTCTGCTCTGGAAAGTTTGCTTTAACTTTCCTAAACGCACAATCCGACCCAAGTAGTAAGTGTGTTTATTAAAAACAACAACAACAACTAAACTAAACCACAAGAAAATTAAGTAACTTGTCCTAGCTCGCCTAACTAGAAATTAGCCAAACTTAGCTTTGAACCAATGCTATGAAAGGGAGAAGAGGAACAGAGGGACACGTGGAAACTGAGAACGCAGGTTGTCTTGTGACTGGTCTACAGTCTTGGAAATTCTTTAACATTTCTCTTACACCTGGGCCTGACACTCAAGAAGGAAATTGTCACTTGATTATTTGATAAAGGAGATGAAAGTGGCACTCTCACCCCAACCTTCATCTTCTGTGTCAGCCAGGGAAGGTGTTAATGAACAAATGGGAATGAGGAGGGTCAGAGGGAACGAAGGGCCCAGCTTGTCATAGCAGCACGAATACTGCGGACCTACCGCAGTAGGTCTTGACAGCCTCACATCTGTAGCTGTAGCCTTTTCTCCCCACAGGAGCTCAGCCCAGGACCTAGAGCGTGGAGGATTGGCTGCAGAGACCATTCTACCATTCCTACATTGAGCATTCACATGTTCATGGAGTGCCTGCTAGGTTGAAGGCACCGCTGTAGCTTCTGAGCACACGGCACTCGGTGAAATGGATGAGGACCTGCCTCATGGAGTACACGCTAGAGAGGGGAGAGGGGAGAGACAGGCAATAACTGCAGGAGTTAATTGCAGATGGTGATACGTGTCATGAAGGAAAACAGAAGAGGGAGATGTGCTAGACAGGGACCGCGGGAGGGAACTCCTCTACATGGGGGAGGGGTATGGCTCATGAAGGCTCTCCATTGCGACATTAGAGCCGAGGTTTCAGTGACAAAGAGAAAGGTAAGCATTCCAGACAGAGGGACAGACTAGTTGGGACCTACCCGCTTCCCCGCGTTGGCTCGCCCAGCTGGGTCAGATGCCAGCTGCTGAGTGAACGTCCTTCCTCAGAGCTGTCTCCCCACCAGACTAAGCGCTGAGCCCAGGGGCTGGTTCTTCCCATCCACAGCTCCACAGTGCCCAGCCACTGTGCCTGCCGCACTGTAGGCAATCAGGACGGGAAATCTGGTGGGAATTCACGACTGCGTGATGGAATGATTACAGGTACTCCAGGGGCATCCATCCGTAGCTGGAGGTCTCCTGCTCTGGGATCCTTGAGACCTTGGTGGGGGTCGGCAGGGAATGCCTGTAAAGCCCTGCACCTCTAGGCAAGGTCTGGGTAGGACTGAACTCTCAGACCTTCACTGGGGAGAAGGGGTTTCTTGGAGGAGAATAACAGAAGCCATGGGAGAAATGACACGGGGGAGAGAGCCCCCCCCCCCTTCAAGGCCTGGCGGGCTGAAACCCTGGGCTGAGAGTCCTCGTGAGTCCAGTCCCTCACCAGGAGACTGGCTTGGAAAAGCCACTTTCCCCTGGGAGCCTCGGTTTCCTCGGTGTGTAGGAGGCGCTTATGGATTCCCTACCCCTTTCCCGAGGACAACCCACGCGCTAGAGCAGGGGACGGTACAGGGTGGGTGGAGCTCACCTAGGAAACGGTTGGGGACATCCTTGTCTCCGCAGCATCCCAACCAAGTCCCTGTCTGAGTGGCAAGCGAAGGGAAGAGAACGGTCTGCAGGAGTAGGGTGGGGAGGGGGAGAAGCGGATGCCCGGGAGCAGCTGCAGCCTGGGAATCACAGGTCCCATATTTCAACCCCCAGCTTTGCTTTGCCTCTTAAGCATAAAATGGGGAAAACACAACCTACTTCTGAGAATGAGCATGAAAAGAAAAAAAAAAGTGTGACAGGGCCTTTCAGGTACCTTTTCCCCTACCGGACGCCCTTTCAGAGGGAACTCCCCCCTAAACCAAGTGCCAGGCCCAGCCAAGGGCTGGAAAGGAGCAGATGCTGTCCCCTGGTGGATGTGTCTGTCACTGCCTGATCCCTGAAGAGCACTGGAGGAGTAGGGGGTGAAGCTGTACGGGTTGCTTTGCCCCCTGGAGTCTTCCTCTCAAACAGGGCCTTTCCTACAGTTTGAGGTTGAGAAGAAAAAAATCCACCCTTTCAAGTTTTTCCCTGGAGGTGAGATCATATTTAAAGGGACATCATTTGAGCGGGAAATGTCGTGTCAATTACATTTCCCATGCTTTCCTCTGAGGGCCTAATGGCAGGGGCAGGGCAAGCTGAGGCAGGAGGAGGCTGCAGGGCGGGGAAGGTTCGAGGAGCTCACTTGCAGCCATGTGGTGGTGTCTGCGGGGACAGATGTGAAACCGTGCCCCAAAGGGTTAACAGAAACTGGTGACCAACAGAAATTCTTGAGTTCGTAATACAGGTAAGGGAAGGAAGAGCTTTCTAAAAACCCCTTGGCTTGTAACCTGCCTTCACTGACCAAGCGTGCCTTAGTTATTTTTTGACTCCTCTCAACCAGCCCGACAGATAACACCTCTGACCTACGGGTCCCTGTGGTAACAGGGGCTTCGGTTGCTTTCCGGGAACTTGGAGTCAGCTCCTGTCCATTTCAAGCTGGCTAGGACCGGCTGGGCCCACAGACCCTGAAGTCGGGCGCGCGCAGGTGTGGGATGAACAACTATTTGACATCAGAGGGATGAAAACTCCACCCTCGGATCTTGCTAAGCCCCTCCGTTTTTTAAATTTTTTTTAACGAGCTTCCCATGAAGAAGCATGAAACTCAGCTAAGCTGGTGCAGAACACGGGTTACCTCACCTCTTCCTGGCCTCCAATCCCCCTTCCCCAGTCCTGAGACCAAACCTGCTTCTTTATCCCACAAAGATCTCAAGCCCCTTGACGTTGCGGGAGTAGACTTGAGATTTGTTCTCCTGTCTGTCTGTCTCCACACTTGGCTGCCTTGTGAATAAACGCTTTCTCTGCCGCAAACCTCAGCATCTCGGCGCAGACGAAGCTGGCTCGGGAACAGCATCCCTCTGCACGGAGCCTGACACTTGGGGAGGCCTCGGCTGGAGCAGGGGACTGGGGGGATTGGCAAGAAACAGTAACTGGAGCCCCAGGGAGGGTGATAATGCCCCCGGAAGCAACAGCTCCAAGGGGAGGGACAACGGAACTAGAGAGAGGCGGCGGGGCAGAGGCGAGGGGAGAGAGCCAGACCCACGGCCCGAAGGGAACGTGCCCACCGCCCCGTTGTCCAAGCTGCTGGGCTCCTCGGAGCTGTCACAACAGGGGCCAATCCCCAGTGACCTTATATGTTTGATTCAGTTTTTTTACTTGACAGGAGATTTCTCTGCCAAGTCAGCCATGATTGTCTGGCCTACGTCGTAAGGAGTGTAGGTTCGAATAGTGGTTCTCAGATTTGAGGCTACGTCAGAATCACCCGGAGGACTGGATGAAAGCAGATTGCTCGGGCCACTTCCAGAGTTTCCGACTCAGTCGGTCTTGGGCTCTCGGGCTCAGGATCTCTGACAAGTCCTGTGGTGATACGGATGCTGCGCAGGCCGGGGACTAACTGTACTATAAGGACCGCTGGCTTGGAAGATGAGTTCCAATCCCAGCCTTAACATTTCCCACTGAGCCCTCGGGGCAGATTCCTTATGTCTCTCAGCTTCAACCTCTTCTATAAAATGGGATGAAAATACTTACCTCTTAGCAGCTCTAAGTTTATCTCAACCAGTAAAAAAAAAAAAAAAGTTGGCCCGGGGAGTCAGTTTAACCTTCCTCAGAGAAGATACAAAGTGACGTGTACAAATTGACCACCAACTGCCGTTTCTTTTCCAGCGTGTGTGACCTCAAGCGTGGCTCCTCAGTCTTTAACGTGGACACGAGTCCCCTGTGGACCTCATGAAAATGCAGATTCTGGTTCACCAGGGGTGACGGACTGAACCGCGCCCCCGAAGTTCACCTACTGAAGCCCTGTTTGGAGATGAGGCCTTTGGGAGGCAGTGAGGTTTAGACGAGGTCACGGGGAGGCGGGGCTCCTACTGGGGTGAGTCCCCGTGTGAGATGAGGCACCGGAGAGCTGCTGCTTTCTCCAACACGTGACGACACGGAGAGAAGTCGGCCATCTGCAAGCCAAGAAGAGCGCTCTCACCAGAACCCTCTCAGGCGGGCGCCCCGACGGGGGGCTTCCAGTCTCCAGAACTGTGAGGAAATAAATTTCTGTTCTTTGAGCCCCTGGCCTGTGGCGTTTTGTTCCGGCGGCCCTACCAAACTGGGAGCGGAGGTCGGCCTGCTGCCTGCGTTCTGCGTCTCCCACCAGCTCCCGGGTGGTGCGGCCGCTGCTGTACGTGGACCACGCTTTGAGCAGCAAGGGTCTGGAACAGATGACTGGAAAGCTCCCCGAAAGGCTGTATATTTTCCCTGATGAGGAGGACTTTAAATGGTCTCCTGCAAATCTACGACAGAGGTCTGTTCGTGCCGTCCCCAACCCCTAACAGGTCTGGCCCATCAGAGACGCTCAGCAAATCACTGTCAGGGAAAGGAGTGGACGAGCCGAGGGTTGCGTCTGACAGTCGGGGCCGCCTGGCCTCGTGGGAAGAGCTCTGGACTTGGAAGGCCTCTGGGAGCGTCGTGGGTGAGTCAGGCAGCCCCTCTCCCTCTGAGACGTGGGGATGAAACACGTCCCCCGGCGACCGTGAAGGTAAAGTGAGATGATGACCATGAATGTGCCCGAGGCAGGGCCTGGCTCACACACGGCGGCGCTGAAACACGGCCCCAGTGTCTCGGCCTGTGAATTGGAACTCCTTGATCCAAGGCTCCTGTTGGCCTCCCGACCTGGAAGCGA